CCGCCCCTTCGCAGCCCCCCCACCCTCCCGAGGGGCGCACGGAACTCTCTTTGCTGTCGCTCCCCCCGTGGAGCCGCTCGCATCCTCAGAGCGCCGCTACCGGCGTTACCGCCCCTCGGGGACACCGCGGCCGGGGGCTCCCGGGAAAGGGACCCTGGGCTCCCCGCTTCCACCCGGGCTCGGCGGCCGCGGATGATGGAGGGGACATCGCCTCTGCGGGGCTTCAGCTATGTCCGCTCTGGGGTCAGCGGACGTGTGAGGGTATCCTCAGGGTCCCAATGGGCACAGCCCTGCTTTTTGTCTTCCTCCGACCCTCTCCGTTCTCCCCCGGACCGCTCTGCGGCTATGTCCTAAAATGTGCGGGGTCTTACCGAGGAACCTGGCAGAGGGCTACCTATCAACAGGGAAAAAAAAGGTGTTTCAAGCCTTTGCGAAGGAGCCGTCCAAGAAAGAGCGGCTTTTGCTGTCTGTGCCACGGAGGAGCCGTGGCCAAGCGGCGGGAGAGGGTACGTCTGGTACAGCCCCCTCCGCCCGCCGGCTCCGAGCACCGCGAGGAGACCCCCGGGGGCATTTTTGAGGGTGACTAGTACAAACCCGTGGAAAAGTCAGAGAGGAAGGGAGGGAGAAAAGAAAGGAGGGAGGAAAGTAGGGAGGGAGCGAGAGAGAAAGGGACGGAAGTGGAGAACATTTTTGAGAGTGCAAAACCCGTGCTGGTGAGGAAGAACTTGGCTTTGGAAGCACGGAACTGTATCTTGCCAAGGTGATAATTAGAAAAATATCCCTGCAACTCAGAGTTTCTACAGGTTTAGGGTTTGTTTTTTTTGTTTTGTTTGTAGGTTTGAGTTTTTGTTGTTTCTGTTTGTTTATTTTTTTTTAATTTCCCTTATCCTCTGTCCCCCTTTTACCCTCCCCCGCCCCCGTCCCCATACAGCACTAGTTCATGTAAGATTTCGACAGCTGTTTCCATCCCTCATCCAGAAAACCCACTAATCTGAGTTGCCTTTGCAGTGGCTATTTACAGGCAATTATAGGATAGGCATATGTTACCAAAAAGAAGGAATGAATATCGTCTTCAGTCTTCTTTCATGCTTTTAATTAAATGGTTCTCTCTGTTCATGCACACTTAATCACTTTTCTTTTTTACTTGCCTCCAAAGAAAGCTCTTTGCTTAAAAAATGCTGCCATACTGTAAATTATAAAGACCTCAGTTTTTTTACTGCAGTCCTCGGCGCTCAGTGAAAGGTGATGGTTTCACTTCAGACAATTCATACCTTGATAAAAAAGAGCCAAATAATGATTAATGACCATATTTCACTGCAGGGGTTCACATGGAAGAGGGAGAATATTCTGTGTGGCCAGCCACAGCCTGTGCTCCACCTCCACACCCTGGCTCTCTGGGTGGGTGCTTGTAGACCATGGGAGTGCTGCAAGGGTGCAGTAGAAACAGAATGTGAATTTTTCTTTTTCTTTTTCTTTTTCTTTTTCTTTTTCTTTTTCTTTTTCTTTTTCTTTTTCTTTTTCTTTTTCTTTTTCTTTTTCTTTTTCTTTTTCTTTTTCTTTTTCTTTTTCTTTTTCTTTTTCTTTTTCTTTTTCTTTTTCTTTTTCTTTTTCTTTTTCTTTTTTTTTCTTTTTCTTCTTCTTCTTTTTCTTCTTTTTCTTCTATGTAAACAGGTGCCTTTCTATGTAAAAAAAAGGAATTCAGAGATTGAAGTGAGCAACTTCAGTGGTTTTGGGGCTTATGGCTTCTTATGGACTCAGTATTTTAATTGTTGTTCCTCTCACTGTAGAGATGCGATTACAACTGAGTGAAGTCAAGAAGCCAGTGAGAGACAATCACAGGCAAGACTGTCTCTTTTTTTAAGAAATAATAAAGGAAAACATTGCAAAACCAGTGTTACAGTCTCAGAAGCAGTTTAATTCTTGTTCACTTGTGCTTTCACCATACAGATACTATTTGTAAAAAATTCTCTTATTAAAATGGTTACTTTTCATCTGAGGTCTCTATACATGCTGTTTCATGATTTTCTGCTGTGCACGTTCTTTATTTGTGGTTCATAAAATTTACAAAACTGGATTTAAAAATAGACCCTTGCTGAGAATAAGTATAGGGAGAAT